AAAAAAAAAATATTTGTATAAAACCTATACTCTAATTGGTCTTTATTTTAACTCTTCCTATCTATTGTCCTCTCCTCCCCAATTTTATGTATATATGGGAGTCTTCTGCTCTGGGATTGTATTTATTTTAATGACATTTTGAAGAATTAAAAAAAAAACTTTTCAGAAAAATACTCTTGTCTGATTTACTTACAGATTCTAAGATGGGGTTCACAATCTGCAGTTCCAAGATCGAATGCAAAGTTATTATAATCCATAATCTTTAATATGGCAGAAGCAGAAAATTATGAATAATAAATTTAAGAATATGTTTATTTTTTTACTAATATTCTTTCTGGCACTTTATCTAGATGTAAAGGAGAGTCTATGTTTTTCTACATCTTTTCTACTACTTTTTAAAATTGCAGTTATATTAATTGTTTTCCAATTCTTGGAAATAAATAAAAACTGATTGCCATCAATTTTATATTGGAATCCTTTTAAGAATCCTGAAGTAGGCTTTGCCTAGATCTGGAAATACATTTATCTTTGTCAGTCAGATATATAACTTTAATCTCATTTTTCTTTGCCTGAATTCATCTGATTCTTTTGCTTAAAAGATGGGTCAAGAAGTTGCAGGCAGCAGTGAATCTAATTCAAGGGGAAGTGGTAGGTTTATTTCCATTGAAAATGTTAAGCAGAGATTGGATCGTCATTTGTCAGGGATGTTTTAAACTGAAAAACTAGAGGGTAGAGTAGAGGGTTGAGCTCAAAGTCCTAGAGTGCCCCTCTAAACTTTATCATTCTATAATGGTGATTAATGACAGTGATTAAGTTGGAAGGCAAGAGTTTTGGTCAGGGAGAGCGAACAGATAATAGCAAACCTAGATCTTTATCCATCTCTATTCTACATATAAATATTCTTTCTTTAAAAAGTTGAAGGCAGTCATTCATGCTTTTTGACCATGGATGTTTTTCATTCCACTGAAGAGTGGCATGTTATTTTTGGGAACCAATCAGGATTATATTTGATAATTTGGCAGAACAGTATTCCTAAATAGCGACACACCCGTTGACCTTCTGAACTTCAGGAACGCCCTTCTCTTCCTCACCACTTCATGATGACGTCTCAAATCCGTCAGAACTACCATGCTGAATGTGAGGCTGCTGTAAACCACTTGGTGAACATCAAACTCCATGCTAGCTATGTCTACTTGTCCATGGCCCATCACTTTGACCGTGATGATGTAGCTTTAACCCATCTGGCCAATCCCAGGAGGAGAAAGAGCATGCCGACAAGTTTCTGAAGTACCAAAATGTGAAGTACCCGTGGTTCGCCCATGAGGCCAATGTTGAGAAAAGACACGGTCACAAGCTTTCTCGGGATGAGGCGACTCAGATTGGNCCCCCTAGAGTCGGGAACGACTAGCACATATGTATGAGGGGAACCTTTATCTTTATTTTAATTATTCAAGCTGCTGACCAGTTCAATAAGAAGTCATGAAACTCTTCTTCAAGGAATAAATGATATAAGAAGATTGTAAAGAAACAGAGAGATCTTATCTCCGAAAATTAAAGCTTTAATGTCTACAGGCTCCACAGAATGCTCCTTTCATATCCACACACCCCCTCAGTTCAAAAAGCTGTTTATTTGGCATCAACATTCAAAACTCTAAACTTCCAAACTGAACATATCACAATTAGAATCCCAAGAAGTATATATTTACCAAACAGATTGCAAGTGTCAGGGTTGCAAGTAACATGCCCATAGCAAACAAAACTGAGGCAAGCAATTTCCTCAAAGAATAGGTTTATTGGATATGTCACGTTGGCAAAGGCTGGTGAAAACTGACTCTGACTATTCCCGCAGTTTACACCTAATTAAAAGATTGTCACTTTCTCAAAACAGTCAGTCACATGGCCCAATCAGGATACTGTCCAGTTGCTAGGTGATTCCAGTCCCCTCCTTCTGAGCACCTGCATGAATGTCCTTGGCTCCCACGAAAAAGTATTTTGTTTTGGCTACAACATCCCAACTATCTCTATTCTCCCCTCCCTATCTCTCTTCTCTGGTGTGTCAGGACGGAAGTTGCAAAATGGCCTCAGCCAGTCCAGCTTCAGGGTTGACAGCAAGTAGCTCCCACTTATAATTGGACTAGCAACTCCATTCCTAAGCAACATGGTCATACGGCGTGAAATCACGACTATGTATCACTTTATGACAGTAGTTCCAGCAGTCCCAGTTGCCGTTGTTAGGTGAATCTCGCACAGTCACAGCATTCTGCAGTCATGTGATCATCATTTGCAACCTCCTGCCGGCTTCCCCATTGGCTTTGTTTATCAAAGTTGGTCTGAAGGTTGCAAATGGCAATCGCGTGACATTGTAATTGCAAGCTGATTGCCAAGTGCCTGAATCGCAATCACATGACTGTGGGAACATTACACGGCTGCAACTAGGGAGACCTATTGTAAGTAGTCGTCATTCAGCACTGCGGTAATTTCAAATGGTTGCTGAACGTGTGAATGTTTAAAAAAAAGTGCCTATATTAACATCGTCATCCTGAATTCAAATTTCTATAGAAGAACCATCATAAGTGCAATACTAACTTGCCATTCAAAAAAATGGGTATTACCAGTACATCTCACAGTTAACACGAATAGCAATAGCACTTAGACTTATATACCCCTTCACAGTGCTTTACAGCCCTCTCTAAGCAGTTTACAGAGTCAGCATATTGCCCCCAATAACCTGTGTCCCCATTTTACCAACCTCAGAAGGATAGAAGGCAGAGTCAAAGTGAGATTCGAATTGCCAAGTTGCAGGCAGCCAGCAGGAGTATCCTGCAGAATTGCATGCTAACCACTGAGCCACCACAGCTCTTAGAAAAACCAAAAAATATATTCTTTAAAACAAGGGTCCCCAACCTGTGATCCGTGGACCATTACCAGGCTGCAGGCTAATCTCACCACTGGGCCCCGTGAGTGTTGTCCTAAGTAGTGTGAGCATCATCACGGGTGCTCATGTCCCCTCTCACATGAGCCTTGTGGGCACTCATGGATCCACGCACTTGAGCCTCGTCACAGGCGCTTGCGGACCCACTTGTGCTTGCATCGCTGCTAACATCATGGGTGCTTATGCGCCCACCCACACACATGCGCTTGCCCCTCCCACAAAATCATTCCCTCTTTCCCCCTTTGCCCACCACTTCGGGCTGCAATCCGGAAAGGTTGGGGAACTCTGCTTTAAAATGATAATAACCAGAACTGTTGACCTTCTGAACTTCAGGAACGACCTTCTCCTCCTTGCCTCATGATGACTTCCCAAATCCGTCAGAACTATCATGCTAAATGTGAGGCTGCCATAAACCACTTGGTAAACATCGAACTCCATGCTAGCTACGTCTACTTGTCCATGGCCCATCACTTTGACAGTGATGATGTAACCTTAAGCCATCTGGCCAAGTTCTTGAAGGAGCAATCCCAGGAAGAGAAAGAATACGCTGTCAAGTTTCTGAAGTACCAAAACAAGTGAGGAAGACGTATTGTGTTGCAAGATATCAAGAAGCCAGAGAAAGACAAATGGGGAAACAGTTTAGAGGCTTTGGAGCACGCCCTGCAGCTGGAGAAGGAAGTCGATCAGGCTTTGCTGGATCTACACAAGCTGGCAACAGAGAAAGTAGACCCTCATCTCTCTGACTTTCTGGAAAATGAATTCCTGGAGGAGCAAGTAAAGGCCACCAAGCTCCTGGGAGACCATTGTACCAACTTGAAGCGCTTGGGGCTGCCCCAGAATGGCATGGGCGAATACCTCTTTGACAAGCTCACCTTAA